GTCACTCAATCCCAGTCTACTGGGGGTGGATGCATTACAAGACACCTATCGGAATGCGACGAAGACGAGGCAGTTCCAGTATTCATTAAAAGAGATTAGCGGATGCCCCATTAGCATTCAAGCCTTAAAACGAGCTCACCTCCCCCCTTCGTCCCCTAAGGCTAATCATGAACACAATGCAGTTCCACCATCCTTCACTTTCTCCAATGACAAATGATCGGTTTGACACGGCCGCACACCCTGGTACACGGCTGAAAACAAACGTCGTGCGGACAGCCCGGGAAAGGTTTCGGGGAGAGGTGTATGCGAAGTAAACCTGGACAGGAATAGCGTGCCGTATAACGTAGTCGGCATGTTGTCACCTACTCTCCGGTATCACGATGACGCACACGGCAATACCCCCCCCCGTGGTCAAAGAAGGCGCGCGCGTGAGAAGTCCAGTTGAAGTCCTTTTTACCCACTTGTTTGCACAGCGAGGTCACTGTGTGTGCAAAAAAAATCCAGGGTGGCTAAACGTACTCAAACACGCACCCACACGTGCCCCTATGCACCCGATGGGTGGAGGCGCACAGACGACACATCTGATTGGCTAGTTATAATCGAGCGCAGAACCAGCACAGCTGTCAAAACTACGAGTAAACCGATGTGCAAGGAGCAAACAGGCGATAGTTAATGATAACCATTTTTTCCGAAGGACCGAATCGGTAGACTTGAGAAATGGCATCCACTGGATTCACTCTACATAGTTTACATAAACAGCCGTGAGGTACGCGAACTAGTTAAGTATTTGCTAGAGGCGTATTAACACATATGATTAACTTGATGGTACTTACTCGCAGTCCTCTGAGATGGTGTCCAGTGGGGTAGGACTGGAACAGCCGATGCGGCATAAGGTTCGGCGGGAAAGCGTCCAGACGAGAGCTCGACGATGGCTTGGAGGGGCATCCAGGTAGTAAATGTCATAGAGCTCCTCGACGAGGGCACTACACTGGCGGACCTCATCCATTTTCACCTGCGGTGGGAGATAAGGCAGAGTTATAAGACATTGCGTGGTGTTAAATATGGGAGTTTGAAGCCAAGTTAAGCATCTGACAAGCACTTATCCGGCGTGGTAAGGTCGTTTGTGGGACTTTGTTCAGGTGTATTAGGGTGATGCAACTTACAAAAGCAATTACCTGCATGGTCATGATAAACAACGAAATTCCTGGACAGTGGGCACAGTTACTGCCACCTTCGTTTGAGGTTGCTGGTTAAATATTCTGTAGAGATAGTCCTTCTACATGGACGTGAGACGGAGCGAACACACGCAGAAGATATAAGCCACCTGGCTAACTGAAAGTTCTAGTCGGTGCGCTCAGAACAGGCTCCAACCTCCATTTTGTCCCCCAAAGGTAGATGTGGTCTCAGTCCCTACAGTTGATTTCGAGATGAGATTATCAGGAGGAAAGTGGCCTGAAACCAGAGTCGAGTCCACTCATTGAGATTAGAACAGTCGGAAGACCATTTTGACATAGGGAATGATCCTCCAGACTGTGTCAAGGGACG